AGTAGGTGGTGCGCTCGATGGTTTAGTGCGCCCCCCAGCCTATGCAGCCCTCTAAGCCTGTGCAGTTCAAGCGTATGCAGAACAGCGTTAAGCAGTGCTGGAGTACTTGCTAGAGCGTAGGCTACAGCGCGAAAGCCTTTTCGCAGGTTAGGCACGTTGCTACGCTGCGTTCAGTTGTGTAGCCGTGCCTTGCCATCATTTAAGCTTGTACGTGTGTGTGCGCGTGTGAGGAGGAGGCCCTGGTCTCTCTCTCTCTCTCTCACTCCTCGCATGCAAGTACGGCATTCATGTTGACTGCTTTCTCGCGGTTGCTGTGATAATTCACTAGCGCCAGCTTATGCCATTGCCGGGTCGAAGCTTGTTTCGCTTACTCCGCCCCACGTCCACAATAATACAGTACGTCTGCATTGTTGTGTGCTTCTGTTGCTGCTACGTGGTTTGGGGGACGTAATGCTTGGAGGCCGCTCCCCGAAGGTATACATGTGAGTGGAGTGAATTAGTAGCAGTGGCTACGAGAGGGTCGTCGTAGCATTTTTGTGCGGTGGTGGCGAGTACGGCGAGTGTTTCGCTCGCTAGCTCCCTATCTAACCCTCTCATCGGGTTGTAGGCAATGCGTCTGCCTGTGGGTGCGCTTCCTCAACTCGGGTTTGTGTGTGTTGCTGCGGGTAATCCAGCTATCTGTGTCAACGGTCTGTCTACGGATGGAGGTGCAGTGGCGTGGTGCCTAGCTCATCAGCGGTGCGGCAGCCCTGGGCTACTCTTGTCTCCCAGTGCTACTACTACTGTGGTTGAGTGGGTGCGAGGCCATGGCCTCCGTGGCGTATTTACCAGATTGACCAGTCCTGTTTATAGCGTGTGGGTCAGCAAGTAAGCTGGCGGCAGCAAGTCTGGCTCACTCGCGAGTGCATTTCGATAAGCGCGGATCCCTACCTACCAAGGGATTCGGCTACGTTGGTGTGAATTACTGCCAACGCTTGTGTATCAATGCTATGCCCGCAGTCCTGGAAGGATGTGTGCATAGGCGAATAATGATGCGGCGGCTGCGATTGCGTCCACGCATTGTTATTAATGTCAGTGGTGGTGCCTGCTTGCCTACGGGCAGTGGCGCACTGTTGGCGTTGAGTGAACTACCTGGTTGATCCTGCCAGTAGTCATATGCTTGTCTCAAAGATTAAGCCATGCATGTCTAAGTTCATGCCTTTATACGGTGAAACCGCGAATGGCTCATTAAATCAGCTATGGTTTATTGGATCATACTCGTTAAATGGATAACTGTAATAACTCTAGAGCTAATACATGCCACGAAGCCCTGACCCCGGGCTCCCTCGGGGAATGGGTGCACTTATTAGAACAGAAGCCAACCAGTCTCCGCGTGCATTCCCTCCTTCGGGAGGTGTGTGCGCGGGCTGCAGCACTTCTGGTGACTCTGGATAATTGTTACAGATCGCAGTCGGCTTTACGTCGGCGACGGGTCCTTCAAATGTCTGCCCTATCAACTTTCGATGGTAGGTGACCTGCCTACCATGGTGATAACGGGTAACGGGGAATCAGGGTTCGATTCCGGAGAGGGAGCCTGAGAAACGGCTACCACTTCCAAGGGAGGCAGCAGGCGCGCAAATTACCCACTCCCGGTACGGGGAGGTGGTGACGAAAAATACCGATGCGGGACTCATTTACGAGGCTCCGTAATCGGAATGAGTGGACTCTAAATCCTTTCACGAGGATCAATTGGAGGGCAAGTCTGGTGCCAGCAGCCGCGGTAACTCCAGCTCCAATAGCGTATATTAAAGTTGCTGCAGTTAAAAAGCTCGTAGTTGGATCTCGGTAGCATTGTTGCCTGCTCAGTTGTCATGCTCTGCGGCGTGCATCACATCGTGTGGGTCGGCTGTGCATTGTCCACGCTCCTATGGGGGCTGGGCGTGTGCGCTTGGCTTCATCACGGTGGGTGTACACAAAAACCGCAGTGTATTGAGCTGGCGTGGCGATGGTGCCACCTTTGAGCCATGTCTGTGGTGTAACAGCCACAGGTGTATGCGAGTGTCGGGCAGTGCTCTGCACCTTCTGTGGGGCCTAGCCGGCTCGCCTGCATGCCAGTGGATGCCCTTTAAAAGGTGTTCATGGGCGGATGGCACGTTTACTTTGAACAAATTTGAGTGCTCAAATCAGGCCGATGTCGCCTGAAAAGTTTTGCATGGAATAATGGAATAGGACTTCGGTTCTATTTCGTTGGTTTTCGGATCCGAAGTAATGATCAAAAGAGACAGGCGGGGACGTTTGTATGGCTGCGCTAGAGGTGAAATTCATGGACCGTAGCCAGACAAACTAAAGCGAAAGCATTCGTCAAGCATGTTTTCATTGGCCATGAGCGAAAGTCAGAGGCTCGAAGACGATCAGATACCGTCCTAGTTCTGACCATAAACGATGCCAACTGACGATCCGTGGCGGTAGTTTCTAAACCTTCCCCACGGGCAGTCCCCGGGAAACCTTTAAGTCTTTGGGTTCCGGGGGAAGTATGGTTGCAAAGCTGAAACTTAAAGGAATTGACGGAAGGGCACCACCAGGAGTGGAGCCTGCGGCTTAATTTGACTCAACACGGGAAAACTCACCCGGGCCGGACACTGTGAGGATTGACAGATTGATAGCTCTTTCTTGATTTGGTGGTTGGTGGTGCATGGCCGTTCTTAGTTGGTGGAGCGATTTGTCTGGTTAATTCCGATAACGAACGAGACTCCAGCCTGCTAATTAGTGCATTTGTCCACTGCACCAGCCGAGCGGCGCAGTGTCAACTGCTCTGGCTCAGTGCAGGAACCGGCGCGTTTGTGCATCCTGCGTGGTCGCACTGCCTCGTGTGGTGTGGCTGTGTGGGGCTATGCGCGGCGTGTTAGGCCTGCATGTTGTGCCTGGGGCGGATGGCACCACGTTAGCTAGCAGGTGCGGCGCGAATGCTTACTTCTTAGAGGGACACGCGGGAGAAGCCGCACGAAATAGAGCAATAACAGGTCTGTGATGCCCTTAGATGTCCGGGGCCGCACGCGCGCTACAATGGCGGTGTCAACGAGTCAGACCTTCTGGCCTGAAAAGGTTGGGCAAACTGGTCAATCACCGTCATGACAGGGATCGGGGCTTGGAATTGTTCCCCGTGAACGAGGAATTCCTAGTAAGTGCAAGTCATAAGCTTGCGCTGATTACGTCCCTGCCCTTTGTACACACCGCCCGTCGCTACTACCGATTGAATGGTTTAGTAAGGTCCTTGGATTGGTGCCATTTAGGTTCCGCCGAAAGGTGCGTATCTAGCCGGCGCCGAGAAGACGACCAAACTTGATCATTTAGAGGAAGTAAAAGTCGTAACAAGGTTTCCGTAGGTGAACCTGCGGAAGGATCATTACACGTTCCAATACACACAAGCTGGCACACATTCTTCTATGTGTCCTGCTTCTACTGCTGCTGCTTCTGCTGCTGTCGGTGAGTGGACGAGCAATCGTTCCCCGCCGCTGGTGGTGGTGGTATGCTGAATCGTATTTACCCTACGATAATAACTACTCTGCGGTGGGGTGCCTGGTCCACCTAATACCCTAGTGGTGATATGCTCGC